CTTTAATACCCATCACCAGGCTAACCCATCCCCCCACCCCCTCCCCTCTAGAACCCTCAGTTTGTTTCTCAGAGTCCATAGTCTTTCATGGTTTGGCTATCCCTCTGATCTCCTCCCCTTCACTTTTTCCCTCCTGCTATTTTCTTCTTCTTCTTCTTTTTTTTTTTTTTTAACATATAATGTATTATTTGTTTCAGAGGTACAGATCTGCGATTCAACAGTCTTACACAATTCACAGCGTTCACTGTAGCACATACCTTCCCCAATGTCTATCACCCCGCCACCCCATCCCTCCCACCCCTCACCACTCCAGCAACCCTCAGTTCGTTTCCTGAGATTAAGAATTCCTCATATCAGTGAGGTCATATGATATATGTCTTTCTCTGATTGGCTTATCTCGCTCAGCATAATACCCTCCAGTTCAATCTTCTCATCACCTCTCTCTCTGTATTGTGTGTGTGTGTGCATGTGCATGTGTGTGTGTGTGTGGTGATGGGGAGGAGGGTGAAAGAGGGATTATGAGTGTGGGTTTGTGTAAGTTTCCTGAGCCTCTCTGATAAAGAGTGTTGGTATGGCAGTTAGGGTCCAGCCATATAACCCAGGATGACTTCCTCCTTTCAAGGTCTATCATCACATCTGCAAATACCTTTCTCATATAAAGAAATGTTATAGTTCCAGAGAACAGAAAGTTGATTATCTCAGGGGCGCAATTTTCAATCTACCACCTAGGATAACTGTTAAAGGCACTGACTGGATAAGAAGAGAGAGCCAGTCAACTCCTTTGTCATTATTTCAGAAGTTCAGGCAATGAATCACACTGGACACACAGGCAGTTCATTGTCTATTTTGTCTGAACTAGTTCCCTAAGTCGTAGGTATCAAGAAGTGATCTCTGGGAGCCTATATTCTTCCTATTCACTTCATTTATGTCACTGCATCAGAATGTTAATGTATTACTCTATTCCATACAATTGAAGGAGCTTTGGTGCTGGTCTTTTTTTTTTTCTTTAATTTTGAGAGATACCTTCAATAAAACACTTCATGCAACTAAGTCATGGCTCAATTTCACACTGCAGTGAGTAAACTCAGTGCATGGTTCCATCAGCCTTGTGAGACCAGGGTGGTAAATGGCCAGGGCTCTGAGGATGACTGATACTGATTTTTGAGACATCAGAGAGCAAAGGCTGTCACTTGGTATCACAGATATCCAAACGTAGACAAATGGAAGTAATCTTTTAAAATTGATTTATAAAAAACTGATTCATATATCAACATATTCAAAATTCAAACACTCCATCATTAAATAAATGAGCTTTCTTCATAAAGAAAGTATATATTAAAAATATTCTTTATCCAGGTAAAATTGTTATAATTTAAAAGTTAAAGTAAATGCTTAAAAATCATCCGCTTGCCTTTTTAAATTCAGCTTTAAGAACACAGTGTCCAAGAGTTGACTGCCACTGAAGTTTCCGGCCACTGTGTTTGCGTAAGTAGAAATTTTTGAAGTTTTCCTGAAGTCTTTCCATCTGATGGAAAGAAGTAAAGAAATATTATTGATAAACTATATGTGAATAAAGTCACAGCTGCAGCCCTAGACTGTTACACTTAAAATTATATATCACCACCATGCATAGGACTATATAATGGACTTCTGTGAGGAAAAGACTGGGTGACGAAAATGGAGTTCTGAAACAAGAAGACAAACTATTTTCATTTTTCTTCTACTTCAATATGGTGCTTTAAATAATTTACATATGCTCCTGAGGAAACCCATCAAGATGGCAATATAATTACAAAAATTAAATACATGGAGAAAGAAAGTAAAGATAATAGCAACTGAGTTGCCACTATTAGAGGGACAACAAATAGATGATGGGTAATTGATTTAGCAGAGAAAAGAAAGCTAAAACCAAAGCTGCAAGCTAAAAATGGGTGGCACCTGGAGACAAGTTTCCATGATTACTAAGAGGAGCAATGAGTAGAACAATGATATGTTGATGACTTTTTCCATCATATATTTATGTGATACATGAATAAATAGTTTATATTCACACACAGTAAAAAAAATGTAAACCAGGGGCACCTGGGTGGCTCAGTCAATTAAGCGGCTGCCTTCAACTCAGGTCATGATCTCAGGGTCCTGAGATTGAGCCCCACATTGGGCTGCCTGCTCCACAGGAGCCTGCTTCTCCCTCTGCCTACTTGTGCTCACTCTCTCTGTCAAATAAATAAATAAAATCTTAAAAAAAAAGAAAAATACAAGCCAACACCAGTAAATGCACAGCCTAAAAGCAAAAGGAAGCCAGGCTGATAGATTCAAAATCTACATCTGACTACATAATAAAACTATTTAAACAACTGAATTACTTAAACACTGAATTATTTAATCTGGTTCCCCTCCATTCTAAAACCTGAATAACTACCTTTCAAAATGGGTAACATTAAGGTGCCATTTATGTTAGTATGAAGCATGACATAATAACTTAAAAGCTCACATTAAAACCAATCTGTTATAGCATATATTATTATAGTCTTAAAACAGTGAATTTCTTACCTCTGGGGGTAACTGGATCTCCTTAGGGATATAGGCTGGCCAAAAACTCGTTGTCAGAATATTCACAGTTAAATCAATGTTTCCTGCTATATTTTGGTTCTTCATATACTGCAAAAATATAAGGATGCAATGAAATAATGAGACTTTTAAAACTCTTACATGGTTATAACTCTACAACAGAAATTCATTACTAAAAATAATATTGATGATAAATTTCTCATTGAAAATAATAACCTATCTTGAAAATGAAATGGACATTTGTATTCTAATAAAGTGTTCTTAAGAACTAAGAACATGGAGGCTGGCTGCCTAAATTAATTAGTTAGAATTAACTTTCCATTGCATTTTTTAAATAATCCATCTTACATCAAAAAGGATCTGAGGCAAGTTATGAAAAAGATACACACACTGACAAAAAAACTTAACTAAAATATATGTAGGAAAGCAATGGAAAGCCAAGTAAGACTAGAAAATAAATTAAAAATAGTTATTCAAAATATGTTGTATAGTTCTTTAAATATGCAGTGGGAAGGCTAAGTGTCACTGAATTTCCTTTCAAAAAACACAAAGTTGGAGTCATAATTTAAATATGTTTTGCTTTGCTAGTTTGCCTTCCTCTCTGTTTTTATCTTATTTTTTCTTCCCTTCCCCTATGTTCATCTGTTTTGTTTCTTAAATTCCACATATGAGTAAAACCACAAGAGACTGTTAACTCTAGGAACAAACTGAGTATTGCTGGAGGGGAGGTGGGTGGGAGATGGGGTAACTGGATGATAGACATTAAGGATTGCACACGATGGAATGAGCACTGGGTGTTATATGCAACTGATGAATCACAGACCTCTACCTCTGAAATTGATAATACAGTATATGTTAACTAAAATGAATTTAAATAAAAATATAAAAATAAATATGATTTAATATGTTTCTTAAGTATAAACTGAAAAGAACCAAACCATTTAAACACTTTACATTAAAAACAAAACTCTTTTAGATTAGAAATACCTGTTTTAACTGAATCATGATATCTTTGGAAAGCTCCATGTCTTTAAACATTCCTTGAAGTTTATTAGTGAAAGCAGTCCCACATTCTGTAAAACATTTTAGAACAAACAATTATAGGTACACCAGAGACTACCAAAGGCAGGGAACTCTTAGGAGTCCATCTCCCTGAAATAAACACTGAGAAACTTTATATAAGTGTCAGAATCTGTCTTGCCAAAATTCTGAGAGACAGTTGAAGGTTCTCATAAACCAAGTGAACACTTAACAAGTAAAAAGGCAACATAAATATAAATATGCGGTATTTTCACTCAAATTCTACCCACTTTCCTGTGCAAGTGGATCTTGTTTGTGCATGATAGTTTATGCTCCCAATGTGAGTACCTGGTTCTCAAGAAACTCTGTTTGTTTGGACTGAATTCAGGTTTTCCAGAGTAACTGAGTCAGTGCAGAGCATCTACACAAGGTTCCCCAAAACATTCAAAGACAAATAAGTAAGCTTTTCCCGCCTAAAACACAAATAACAATTGGAGCAAAATAAATAAATAAATAAATGAATAAATGAATAAATGAATAAATGAATAAATAAATAAAAACAAGTCAACAGACTGGGAGGAGAAGCCATAGGGTACAATTATCAGGAATAAGAAATCTGAAAAGCACAGAAAGTAGGGAATGTAGTAGGCCCATGAGAGATACTTGTAGGCCCAAGTCAAGAAGCGTGTTAGAAAAAATGTGTCAAAACTTTAAGTTATCACCTATTTAAATTTAGGCTCAGTGAAAACAACAGCAAGGCAGCATTGTACATGCCCAAGAGTAAAAAAAAATGACCCAACACAAGACAAACCATGAGAGACTATGGACTCTTAGAAACAAACTGAGGGTTCTGGAGGGGAGTGGGGGGATGGGTTAGCCTGGTGATGGGTATTAAGGAGGGCACGTTCTGCGTGGAGCACTGGGTGTTATATGAAAACAAGGAATCATGGAACACTACATCAAAAACTAATGATGTAATGTATGGTGATTAACATAACATAACATAGTAATAAAAAATAATAAATTTAAAAAAATGACCCAACACAGAACCAATTTTAAAAGATCAACAGAAGTTTGTTTTTCTTTATTTCCTTCTGTGTGTGTGTGTGTGTGTGTGTGTGTTTATTTTTCTCATTCCAAGAGTTTCAGCAAAGGAGACTTTATTACCATACACAAGAGGAAATACATTCTGAGAGAATAGTTGGAAAAAGTCCCAAAACAAGTGAACAATTTCAGCTCACAAGCAACAACAACAAATGCTAGATAGAGAAAATATCTGCTTTCCAGAGTTGTCCTTTATTAATAAAAATGTAAAATGGCTACGGTCAGTCTAAGCTAAATGTATAGATACTTCAGAGATCACACATAAAAAAGAATAGTTTTTGTTAAAATAGGCAGAATGGCCAGTTTTTAACAAAAGCCACAAAACACACAAAAAAGTATGGAGATACGGCAATTCATAAGAAAAAGAGAAATTAACAGAAACTGCCTGTGAAGGGGTATAAGCGTTAAACTTACTAAAAAATGACTTTAAATCAACTATCTTATATATGCTCATGAAAACAGGTCAAATAAAAGTATCCAATCTGAAGGGCAGAGAGAAAAACAATAAAGAAAAATAAGCAGAAACTACAATATGTTGGGATGTGAGCAATTGTGCCAACATATAGTTCATGAATTTCTGAGATAGTGGAAGAAATATAATGGGAAGAAATAATATTTGATATACTATATTAAATGACAGACAATAATCTACACATACAAGAAGCTCAATGAACTCCAAGTAGATTAAATTCCAACAGTTCTACATCAGAGTACATTATAATAAAACTGTCTAAAAACAAAGATAAAGTTAGAATCTTTTTTTTTTTTAAGATTTTATTTATTTACTTGACAGAAAGAGAGACAGCAAGAGAGGGAACACAAGCAGGGGGAGTGGGAGAGGGAGAAGCAGGCCTCCCGCCGAGCAGGGAGCCCGATGCGGGGCTGGATCCCAGGATCCTGGGATCATGACCTGAGCCGAAGGCAGATGCTTAACGGACTGAGCCCCACCCAGGCGCCCGTAAAGTTAGAATCTTGAAGACAGCTAGATGCAAGTGATTTGTCCATAAAAGAGACTCTCAATAAGATTAGGGGTATCTTCAAAAAGGAAGGACAGTAAGACAATATATATACAAAGAGCTAAAATGGAAAAAAGCTCAAATACAAAATCTATATTCATCAAAACATTATTTCAAAAATGAAGGTGACATTAAGACAAAAAATGATGATTCAATTACCTCTATCCTATAAGAAAGCTTACCAGACAGTAAATCAAAGCTCTAAGAAGAAATAAAGAACATTGATAAAGGATATATTTTATATTATATTTATATAGATAACTATAATATAAACCCAGCAGTTTTATATTTTTGGTTTGGAAGTTCTCTATTTCCTATATGATTCATTGACAAAAACAATATATACCATATTAAATGTTACATATATACATAATTGCACATATAATGTACATATGTGTACATGTTTATATTATATGTACAATGTATATTATTGTATGTGTATATGTATATTATATATTGCACATATAATAAAGCATGTATATAAACATATACATACACAAAACTGTACCTATCATATATTAGTATATATACAGATACATTAGATATGTTACAGATAACATACATACATAAATATGTATATTTTACCCATATTATGTCATATTATATTATATACATATGTATATATACACATGTATTTTATGTGTATGTTTCATCTAAATTGGAACACCGAAAACACTGTCAATTTCAAAGTACAGTTTGGAAGGTACTGAAAACAGGCAAACACCACAGGACATTAAACTGGCAATTTTGCAGACATACTCCAGGGGGAGCAGGAAATTTCAGTATCCTAAGAGTAATCAAAGGGAAGATGTTTAGGATATATTTGAAATAGCTGTGAGCACACACATAAGCTTAGAGAAGACACTTGCCTAAAAGAAGTTTGAGGGACACCTGGGTGGCTCAGTCAGTGAAGTATCTGCCTTTGGCTCAGGTCATGATCCCATGGTCCTGGGATCCAGTCCCACATTGGGCTCCTTGCTTAGTGGGGAATCTGCTTCTTCCTCTTCCCCTGCCTGCCACTCGCCCTCCCTGTGCTCTCTCTCTCTGACAAAATCTTAAAAAAATAAAAAATAAAACAAAATAAAAGAAGTTTGAGAAGTTGTAGAATCACTGGCTGGGCTAACAGGTGAAGGTCTTTTGAACAAAGGCAGTCCATAAAGACTGAGTGGTAGCTGGTTTTCAAATGAGCAAATGTCAACAAAAGATTTAAAAGACACCCAAAAAACAAGAATCATGACTCAATCAAACGAACACAATAAAACTCAAGAAATCAATGAAAAAGAACACAAATTGAAAAACTGCGTAACAAATAATTTACAATAAGTGATGTAAATATTCTCAGTGAGTTAAAATAGGTAAAAACTAAACAAAATCAGAAAAACAATGCATGAACAAAATGAGAACATCACCAGAGAGAAACTATAAAAATGAACCAAGCAGAAATTCTCAAATTCAAAAATTTAACAACTGAATTGAAAAATTCCTTAGAGTGGTTCAAAAACAAACTTATAAAGAAAAAAAGAAAATCAGCAAACTTGAAGACAAGATCTTTGAAATCACCAAGTCAGAGGCAAGAAAAAAAAAAATGATCTGAAGACAGCATAGGAGACTCATGAGACTCTGTCGCACCTAAAAATGTATGTAGTACAGGAACCCCAGAAGCAGAGAGAGGGACAGAGAGCTTGTTTAAAGAAATAATGACTGAAAGTATCTAAACCTGTAAAGAAACTGATGTACAAACTCATATAACTAACAAACTAATATCTAAATAGACCCAGACCAAGATAAGGCACATTATAACCAATCAGCCAGAAATCAAAGACAAGACAGGTGGCAATCCCAAATGTAGCAAGAAGAGATCAGTTTGTCTTACAAGAAAACTTCCCTAAAATAATAAAAGATTTTTCTCAGCAAAATTTCAGGCCAGAAGAATGTGGGATGGATGATATATTCAAATTCACGAAAGGAAAAAAAAAACATATCCAACAAAACTGTCACTTAAAACCGAAAGAGATGAAAAGAAGTTGAGGAAGTAAATTACCATTTAGAACTGCTATATATAAGTAATGCTAAAGGGAGTGCTTCAAGATGAAATGAAAAAATATGTGAGGCAGCAACGTAGGAAAGGATAATATAAAGTTTGAAAAAATAGTAATTGTAAAACAGGAATTTTGGCATATAATTGAAGGAAGAAAACGAGGTGCTATTATTAGCAAACATGAACTAGGATATATGCAATTCACAAAGATCTCTTCTGTAGTTTTCTCAGCCAATAAGCATCACAGCTGCTTCAGATCTCTTATATTCAGGCACCTTCATCTCCAGGACTATTGGTATTCACTGACTCTAGCTATGTCTAAGTCCTTCCCTGCTCTCTCTCTTTGTCCTTACAAAAGTCCAGAAACTATATAGCATCAAGCCCAGGCCCCTGCTGCCAACTTAGACTACCCCAAGCAGACCCCACAACCATACCTGCAATCAGGGCTAGACACTCCTCCTGGGTACCTTTGTGCTGCCTACCTGACACCCATTATGAACCTCCACTGCTGCATGCATGCCCAGGGAAAGAGAGGGCTGCCATATGAGAGCACATGGACAGCCCAGTTCCCACAGCTACTGGTGAACATGCTTTTGTTGAAGGCCCTTACTGGCCTTGGACAGCACCCCCCATCCCATCGTATGTGTGGGTCTGAAACTGGACCCTGCATATACACTGAAACCTGTGTTGTACAAACTCCTATGACTGGCTGCCACAGTGGAGTACATAATACAGTCCCTGGCACCCAAACTACCTGATCTGGTCTCTAGCCAATGTACCCAAATGGTTCTTGTAGCCACAGAAACCCAGTGCTTACCAACTGTGGACATCAACTTTAGCCAATGAGACATCATACACTTCCACAGCTGGAGCCACTGCGCATGGTAATACTATG